CAGTCACCAGCAGGCATTGTCGGGTACCAAGTGACTCTCTCTATATATAGTTTCAAGACGATGTTATCACTGGTAAATGTTGCTTGTAAGTCATTCCTTCTAGTGGGGATAGACTCTGGCCGGCGACGCTGTAGGGAACACGCCGGTGAAACTCAGTGTAAAGATAAAATATTTATCATTCTAATCTAACCTAACCCAAATTAACAAAATGGTAAACTTAATCTAAGCCATGTTAAATTTAGGTTAGGTTTGTCAAGGTAGCTACTGCTCGTACACACACTCAGTGGCTTAAGAGATTCCCTTTGGGCAGATCGTTAGGGGTAAGGTGAATACAGTGCGCTTTATACTGTACTGAGCTTTCGGTACATAAGAAGGTACTGTAACCGACACTGTATCCGACTGCCTTCACTTTCCTTGCTACAAAATAGGGCTTCATCTGCCGTACATTTATATCATAGAGAGGGAAAGAGCGAGATCGAGAGCAAGAATGAGAGAGATGGCGAAAAAGTTTTAAATTGTAATGAAGGAAAAGTATCAGCACCTTTTTGGAATAGGACTTGGCATTAGTAGTCGAGCTGCATCCTGGACAACGGTGGAGCTTAGGTCGTGGCCTACCAAGAATCCCCCCTCCATACTCCTTCTTCCATAATCCTCCCCACTCCATACTCCTTCTTCCATAATCCTCCCCACTCCATACTCCTTCTTCCATAATCCTCCCCACTCCATACCCCTCCTTCCATAATCCTCCCCACTCCATACCCCTCCTTCCATAATCCTCCCCACTCCATACCCCTCCTTCCATAATCCTCCCCACTCCATACCCCTCCTTCCATAATTCTCCCCACTCCATACCCCTCCTTTCATAATCCTCCCCTCCTTTTCACCTCCCCTGCATACTCTTTTTACATCCCATCCCTCCTCCCATCCTCCTTCCATACATTTCACAATCCATACATTTCTGTTCTTATAAACCAGAAATATTACTATAAAACCTAAAATCTCCCCCCCCTCCCCCCCACCTCTCCCCACACAACTTTCATGTGTTCTTTAGGTGAAAGTACCATGTGATCCAGCAAGTCATGAGCGACCTGCCTCTCCTGATTTGGAGTACCTCCTGAAGGACAATGTCTCTCATCCCAGGGAGGGAGGAAGGAGGTGGGGGGTGTTCCTTCTTCATCTCTCCTTGTTAACACACCCGCATTCCTCTTTACCATCCATTTACCGTTTACTTTTTGATATATATATATTTTTTTTGGTTTACCTTTATGGCTCTATCCGTTCATCTGACATTGAAATATAATCAGGAACTGGTAAATAGATCACGTTTAACTCCCTTATAAGATTCGTCACGTATTGTATTCATACTCAAGGGCGTAGATGTAATCACTCGAAACGTGTTAAGTCTTCAGAACTTTATCTTCCCACTCGATGCTGTAGTTCCTCGACCACTATTCACCGAGAGGTCTACATCATCTACATCCTTCAAATATATTTAATAATCGATTTCTTATCTTCCTGATCTTCTTAATTGACACTGACACACCTGTATACCTGGTCTGACTTAACATCTCAAACCTCAAACACTGTATCCCAAAGTCTATTAAATTTAGGTAAGATTTACTGTTAGGTTTAAGGGAAATTGATTTTATATTCATTAAAACTATTGTATTTAGGATTTAATACAGTTGTAGTTTGTACCATAAAGTTACTGTACAGAAGGGTTGGTACAGTATAGGGTACGTGGTCGTGTGGTTGTGGTGTTAAACCAATTGCAAGAACAGTCGTGGGGTATACGACGCCATTTAAGATGACCTTCTTGCCCTGATCTTGTTTCAGTTATACCACCCTTTTGAAGCTCTGGAGAGATCTCGAAGTTTCGATATTTTGAGCACAGCACTAGCTAATAATTCCCACCAAGAAACTTGTTTCGAGACTCCTCCAAAGCTTCGAAAATTGCAGAATTCCATGTGTTAAAGGCGATATTGCTGAAAAAAGACCAGGGCAAGAAGGTCATCGTAAATGGCGCCGTACACCCCATAACCGTTCTTGCAATTGGCCCTTAAGAACTATGCACGGACGAGAGATCTCAGGCGGTAGCAGGTGGCGGTGCTGAGGATGGTGTGGTATTTTTTTTCCTAACTGATGTGTGTGTGTGTGTGTGTGTGTGTGTGTGTGTGTGTGTGTGTGTGTGTGTGTGTGTGTGTGTGTGTGTGTGTGTGTGTGGATGCGTGCAGAACGATATCATCACTGTTCATGCACTGACATCATTCATAAAAATATACTTGAAAACACTTACAACAATTTTATTCTCGTTGCTTTTCTCACTCGTTTCGCCTCTCACACTCCTCTCCCACACTCTCCCTCTTTCCGCTTCTCCCACACTCTCCCTCTTTCCGCTTCTCCCACAATCTCCCTCATTCCGCCTTTCCCACATTCTTCCTTCTCCATTCTAATGCATCCTCGTCTCTCCCTCGTTAAACGCTAACCATCTATACCCAGTAAAGTCAACTTGATTTACAATAGTCACCTAACACCACCTATAGATCATACCTGTGAGAAAAAATCATCCTAATTAACCAGGTAAGTAATATATCACCTGTGACCTGTAAGAATGTTTGTCTGATGCCTCGTCCATTACTTTATTTACAATGGTCATTTTGTTTACGTAACTTAGTGCTCATGAGAAAATACGACTCACCATAGCGCTATTAATCTCCCTCTTGAACGTCTCCTGAGGGTGTTACATGATACGTGTCTATATTGAGAGAATTACATCGTTTTCATTAGATCATAAATTCTCTCGTGTGGGAACTTCAGGGAGTTTCAGAGAGTTTCAGGGGGGGGTCTCAGGGGGGTTTCAGGGAGCTTCAGGGAGTTACACGGGGGTTCCAAGGAGTTTCAAGGAGCTTCAGGGAGTTTCAGGGGTTTTCAGAGAGTTTCAAGGAGTATCAGGGAGTTTTAGGAAGCTTCGGGGAGTTACAGGGGGGTTCCAAGGAGTTTTGGGGAGCTTCAGAGAGTTTCAGAGAGTTTCAGGGTGCTTCAGGTAGTTTTAGGGAGATTCAGGGACCGTCAGGGAATTTCAGGGAGCTTCAGGGAAATTCAGGGAGCTTCAGGGAGTTTCAGGAACATTCGCATAGCTTCAGAGAGTTTTAGGGAACTTCAGGGAGTTTCAGGGAGTTTCAGGGTTCTTTTATCTGAGCTATAATGAGGATGTAGAGATGCTGCCACCTCATCAATATCCCAAACGATCCTGGGGTGTAAATAAACATGATTTCCTCAGTGATTGTGATAAAATTTTCTGGGATGAGGAGGTGAAGAAAATAGAAAGAAGAGAAAGGAGGAGGTGAAGAGAAAGGAGGAGGTGAAGAAAGGAGGAGATGAAGAGAAAGGAGGAGATGAAGAAATATTAGTTGTGATGGAGAAGAGGAGAGGAGTTAACGAGAAGGTGGTGATGATGAAGAGAAGAAGAGTAAATGTGGTGAAGGGAAAGGAAAGGAAAAGAGACAGAGAGCTTGACCTACTGAGATGACGAAGTTGTCCTTCTTAATTTCTCGTTTTCTCTTACGTCATTACCGTTTTCTGTCAAGTCATTACCGTGTTCTGTTACGTCATTACCGTTTTCTGTCACGTCATTGTCGTTTTCTGTTACATCATTACCGTTTTCTGTGACATCATTACCGTTTTCTGTCACGTCATTACCGTTTTCTGTGACATCATTACCGTTTTCTGTCACGTCATTACCGTTTTCTGTTACGTCATTAATAAAAAAAGCTACGTATAGATGTAAACAAACACAAAACCATGACTGTAACGTTCTTATATTTTGTAACTTTACCTGAAATAGCTTTAATTACCTGTATGTTATTGTCTCATTGTTAGGTGTCTCACTCATATGTCCTGGGTTTGGTTCCCAGCCCGAGACATATTTGAGAAGGGGTGGTGTTATCCAGTGTGACCCTACCAAACATCACAGGTTTTATTCGGGTACTCCAGCTTCCTCTAATAGACCACGCCCACACATGTACAGTTACTTATCGACCACGCCCACACATGTACAAGCCCTTATAGACCAGCCCTACACATGTAAAAATACTATAGACTACGCTTCCACACATGTACAGTTACTTATCGACCACGCCCACACATGTACAAGCCCTTATAGACCACGCCTACACATGTAAAAATACTTACAGACCACGCCCACACATGTACAAGCACTTATAGACCACGCCCATACATGTACAAGCACTTATAGACCACGCCCACACATGTACAAGCACTTATAGACCACGCCCACACATGTAAAAGTACTTACAGACCACGCCCACACATGTACAAGCACTTGTAGACCACACCCACACACGTACAAGCACTTATAGACCACGCCCACACATGTACAAGCACCCACACATGTACAAGAACTTATACACCACACCCACACATGTACAAGAACTTATAGACCACGCCCACACATGTACAAGCACTTATAAACCACGCCCACACATGTACAAGAACTTATACACCACACCCACACATGTACAAGAACTTATAGACCACGCCCACACATGTACAAGCACTTATAAACCACGCCCACACATGTACAAGAACTTATAGACCACGCCCACACATGTACAAGCACTTATAAACCACGCCCACACATGTACAAGAACTTATACACCACACCCACACATGTACAAGAACTTATAGACCACGCCCACACATGTACAAGCACTTATAGACCACACCCACACATGTACAAGCACTTATAAACCACGCCCACACATGTACAAGCACTTATACACCACACCCACACATGTACAAGCAGTTACACACTATACACACACACAACACCAGTGCTTGCGCCGTGAGAGCCAGTTAACCAAGAGGTCCAGCGAGTACCATCTCCCCCTCCGCCCTCCCTCTCCGCCCTCCCTCTCCCTCTTGACATTGAGAACCTCTGGTCTTGAAAGTGAAGGTAAGTGAGGAACCTGCGTCGCCCACCACTGCTTCCACACCTTCAGTCTACATTCACGCTGCGCTCCCGACCACACGTCCAATTGCTTGTCTGTCTCCCTGACTCCTTGGGTAGCTGTTGGCCTGTCTGTGAGTTTACATTGGTTTCTTTACTGTTCTGTGTGTGCTTCTTAATAATTGAAGTTATTTTGTGTTTTCATTCCGTTTCTTACTTGTTTATTTTTTGTTTTTGTACACGTGATTTGGTTGTTAGGTTAAGTTTAGTTAGTAATTTGTTATCAGGTTTATTAGATAAATATGTACGCGTCGCTAAGATGAATTATTACGTCGTCATCAAACGTTACTTTGATTATCTCTACAGTGTGTGTGTGTGTGTGTGTGTGTGTGTGTGTGTGTGTGTGTGTGTGTGTGTGTGTGTGTGTGTGTGTGTGTGTGTGTGTGTGTGTGTGTGTGTGTGTGTGTGTGTGTGTCCTCTTACTAGTCATTAAACGGTAACAACTCATAGTCTAACAACACTTGACATAATTGTAGGAAAAAAAACCAAACATTCAAACGATGATACATATTAAGTGACAAGACATACAGACAAAACAAATGGCCTACTTTCGGATACATAGAGAGGATACGTATGTGTCATTATAGGAAACATCTTAATCTTAGCGGCGTTTACTGTTTATAGAGACGTGTTACTGGAGGTAGAGACTTGTTACTGGAGGTAGAGATGTGTTACTGGAGGTAGAGATGTGTTACTGGAGGTAGAGATGTGTTACTGGAGGTAGAGACGTGTTACTGGAGGTAGAGACGTGTTACTGGAGGTAGAGATGTGTTACTGAGTGTAAGAGATGTGTTACTGGAGGAAGAGACGTGTTACTGGAGGTAGAGACGCAGCCATTGGAGGTAGAGATGTATACGGAGGTAGAGATGTGTTACTGGAGGAAGAGACGGTTACTGGAGGAAGAGACGTTACTGAGGAAGAGACGTGTTACTGGAGGTAGAGACGTATTACTGGAGGTAGAGATGTGTTATTGGGAGGTAGAGACGTAAGCGCTGGAGGTAGAGACGTACATTGGAGGTAGAGACGTGTTACTGGAGGTAGAGACGTGTTACTGAGGTAGAGATGTGTTACTAGAGGTAGAGAGATGTAAGTTACTAGAGGTAGAGACGTGCTACTGAGGTATAGACGTGTTACTGGAGTGTAGAGACGTGTTGTTGGAGGTAGAGACGTGTTACTTTTGGAGGTAGACGTGTTACTGGAGGTAGAGATGTGTTGCTGGAGGTATAGACGTGTTACTGGAGATAGAGACGTGTTACTGGAGGTAGAGACGTGTTACTGGAGGTAGAGACGTGTTACTGGAGGTATAGACGTGTTACTGGAGGAAGATTTGTGTTACTGGAGGTAGATTTGTGTTACTGGAGGTATAGGACGTGTTACTGGAGGTATAGACGTGTTACTGGAGGTATAGACGTGTTACTGGAGGTAGAGACGTGTTACTGGAGGTAGAGACGTGTTACTGGAGGTATAGACGCAGCATTGGAGGTAGATTTAGGCACATTGGAGGTATAAGACGTGTTACTGGAGGTATAGACGTGTTACTGGAGGTATAGACGTTACTGGAGTGTAGAGACGTAAGCTACTGGAGGCAGAGACGTGTTACAATTGACTTTATGTTAGTGAGGTGAATTGGTTCTTCTGTATGGTAATAGTGGTGGAGGGAATTCAGTGTATCATTAGATTAATACCATGAAGTAACACAAACTACCATAAATTACCACAAACTACCATAAATTACCATAAACTACCATAAATTACCACGTACTACCATAGATTACCACATACTACCATAGATTAGCACGTACTACCATAGATTAGCACGTACTATCATAGATTAGCACGTACTACCATAGATCAGCACGTACTATCGTAGATTAGCACGTACTACCATAGATTACCACGTACTACCATAGATTACCACGTACTATCATAGATTACCACACATCTACCCATCTACCTAGTACTACCACACACCTGCCCATCTACCTAGTACTACCACACACCTGTCCAACACTGTTACTACCTGAGGTGCTGTGGGCAGGTAGTTACACAGCTCACCTCCTGTTCTAAGACTCGCTAGTTTGAGTCCGGGGAACCCTCAGCCGACCCAGCTGTAAATGGGAACCTGACTTTATGGTTGTGGAAAATAAAGGTGGATGAGTGGAGTGGTGATGGGTGTAAGAGAGAAGGTTTAGAGGTGGATGAGTAGAGTGGTGATGGGTGTAGTAGAGAAGGCTTAGAGGTGGATGAGTGGAGTGGTGATGGGTGTAGGAGAAAAGATTTAGTTTATAATGTGAGTCATCCACCGCACGAGTCATCCACCTTGTCTGAAACGGGTCCTCACGCCTCTGGAACCCACGCTCACTCTTACCGATTACCTTAACAATGTTTACCTGTACACACACACACACACACACACACACACACACACACACACACTATAACAAAAGAAGAATTAAACTGTATTGGTGTGTACGAAACGATGAAACAGCATTAAAAAGAATCAGGCCCTTTATTCGTCCGACAAGTACAATAGTATTTGGGTCATCCGGTTCACCACAATGGGATCAGACTTACTCTACACTAGGAAAAGAAAGTAAATTCTCAAAGCAAAAACGAAAAAAATGATTCTAGGTATTGTCAACTCATGAGTAAAATAAATGGTAAAATTGCTAAATATGGGAGAAAATCCACTAGAAATGAGTAAAGAAAAAATCCTAAATCACTGAGAATGTTGTGATGTTTGTAAATTCTTCTCGTCATCTCTTAACCTGACATCAATTCCAGAAATATCGTGTGTAAGTAGACACCTCGAGGCCTTATATATATAAGTCTTAAACAGTAATGCCTCAAGTGACAACCAAACACTCCTCCTCCTCCCCCTCCTCCTCCTCCCCTCACCTCCTCCTCCTCCTCCTCCTCCTCCTCCTCCTACGTGTGGTTTAAACTAAGACTCAAAGATCCACTTTAAAGCAACAAGGAGAAAAACTCGTTCTTCTTCACCAATCAATATTCAGTTACTCAGCTTCACTTCAAACCCATGAGAGATATAAAACAAGATTCTTTTAAAAAATTGTTGGTATCTACACGAAGCAATAGTGACTCAGCCATAATGCCAAGAGTCTGCCGAGTGTTTGTCCATTTGTTTCTCATCCTCTCGAAGCTGATTATGATGTTAAATGGTTTATATATTCATTCTTGTGTAAACGTTTGTCAAGATTTATAACAAATATATTATTTTTTCCACAATAAGGGAAATAATTATATAAAGAGGAGAAATATTACCAAATAAACTCACATAGAAGGTAATGTAACTGGTCAGCCATATTTAAATTAACTCTGAACGTAAGACAATAAAAATAACAGTATTACATTTCTCAAGGATAAGCCTCGTGGTCAGGTCGTCCTCAGGTGAATGGACGAGACTCTATATAGGTCGAGGATGAACACACACAAAATATATAAAAAATTAGTCACAAAAACATTCTCGTTAGTATCACATTAATGTTATTTTCTTACATAGTTAACTGGTAGGTAATTCACACAAGCCGGGTACATATTTTAACACTTAAGAAATACTAGGATTGACCTCAGTAAATGCTGGAGACGATTATAAGTTGTTGATAATGCTCAGAAATTCCATAACTGTTGGACAATTATAAAATGCTTCACGTTGGAACTAAATCTAAGGAGTAACATGATAATAAACTTCTGTAAACGCTGATATTTTTTTTTTAAATGTTAAAGAAAAAAAAAGCTAAAAGTATTAAATAGCGAAAACCGATACAAACTAAAGAGCGAAAATCAACAAAAACTTAAAAATAACAGAGAACAACAACTAAAACAACAGTAACAACGACAAAACTACTACAAAAAACAAGGAAATATATTAACAAATAATAATAGGACGTTCAAACAGGCATAACTTTCACCTCACACCGGCATAACTGTATACTAGTCGCATAGTGTGTCGACCAGAGTTTTCCTATAGAGAGAGGTGAGGTGGGTGTGTGATGTGGGGGGTGTAGGAAGGGTGTGCGGGGGTTAGGAGGGTGTGAGATGAGGGTGGGGGGTGGGTCATTGGCCGTTATGGAAGGCTGGGTTTACTTCTCACAATAGTGCCGTTAACAGTATACGAGTTCTTCTAAATGTTATGCCATGCTTGGGTCACTTACAAACAGTACCCGTAACAGTTACAGGTCCTAAAACGGGGAACGGAAGATGACCACTGATGTTAGCTAGTTTTTTCCGAATAATAATTTCTGCCGAGATATAATCCACACAGATTTAACATAAATGCTGAGTAACGATGACTTGCATAAAATCCAATAATAAAAAAGGGGGTTAAGTATTTATTATGTAAACGCAACATGACGTAGAGTCGTAGACCAACAGGTGTGACCACAAACTCTCGTAACAAACTGTACAATCACTTCGTTATATGTTAAGAGGTGGTGAAGCTTAGAGCCGTCTTAAGCCAATGGGAATAAAGTAATAAAATACCTGTATCCCAGATTTTTTTTTGAACAGGTATGTGTGGTAATTTTCCCCACAGTGGTAATGATGGTACTGAAGCTTTGTGTGTAGTAATGTGGATGATGATTCTTGCCTGCGCTGTGGTACTGTATACTATAACTGAATCAGGAATCATTGATGTGATTCTTTGATATACCAGAATCATATTTTGTAATAGTTATGAATCGGTATTTATAATTCTAGTCGATAATACAGACGAATTATTTAAAAAAAAAGACTCATGAGCCTTTGCACGAATAATCAAAGGAGGCTAATATCAACCATCACAGGCAGTAGATGACGTGGCCAGGTAGGTTCAGGTAAGGCCTCAGGCAGTACAAGTTAATGAGTGACCTGGCCTGACTCGTCCTCTCTGTAACATAACGTGGAGAGTTTGGATCATCTCCAGTTATGACGTGGGTATACCTCCTCAACGTCTACAGTATATCGACCTTCTAACAATACTTTTAATAATTTCACGAAGTTTATAAAGTTTGTGAAAATACTGTTAAATAATGTCAAATAAGGTGGGTTTTTTTTTTTGTTTACCCGTCAATTAGCA